TTGTGTGCAAGCGTGTGTGTGCGTGTGTGTGTGTGTGTGTGTGTGTGTGTGTGTGTGTGTGTGTGTGTGTACGCGGCACAGTTGGAGAGTGATTTCTAGGAACGCCATCCGCCCACCAGCAAGACACTGTCTCATTTTAGGTACTTTGGAAAGTCCCTAGAAGTCCACCACTCGCACCCTAAAGGCGGGAGGAATCCCAGTATTTGGGGGCCTATCCTTGGGGCCTCGCCTTAAGGGCTGCCCTGCCGATTTCCGAGGAGGGTCTCAGCAAAACGCCCCCGGGCCCTGCCTTCTCCGTGCAGATGTGTTATGTATTAAGGAGTGTGTGTGTGTTTGTGAGTGTGAGCCAGACACACGGACTGCATGCTTTTCCTCCCAGGGCCAACCCCCATCCATAGGGAAGGAAACACACGAAACACGCAAAGCCTGAGATTCTCCAAGGTCATCCTCACAGCAAGGCCTAACCCAGAAACTAGTGATGGGCATGTCTTTTCTGTGGCTCTTAAAGGGATTTGGCCTTGAAATAGAGTTAGGTGGACCTAACCTTTGCCATCTCTTACCTGGAGGGGCCTGCTGAAGGCAAGTCTGGTTGGTAATGTTAGTGAGAATCCAGCTCCTCTCTCGCACCTGAGAGGTCCAGGAGGCTCCTTCCCAGCCCCCCTCGAACAGCACTGGGTAAAGACAAGCTTGCAGGTCTCCTTAGAGCTCTGCTCAGAGGGGGTTTCCTCAAGGAGACAGGCTTGTTTGGCATCTCGTACATTCAGATCTACATCTGTTTCACCGGCTGGTGGCACTTATTGAGCAGTTAATATGCAAACATGCTGGGACAGCAGGACAAAGACCAGCACAGAGGTTGTGCCTGGATCCTGAGGGGGCAGGTGCCAGGCTGGGGAGGGGAGGTTGGTGTAATGGCCTATGAAGAAGTGCCTGTGCAAAGGCCCTGTGCGTCCCTCAGCACCACTGAGGCAGGGGTACAAGGGGGTGGAGCGAGGGTTGGGAGTGGTCAGGAGGCAGGGCAGGGGCTTCGACTGGAGACCCTCCTAGGCCACGTTATGGATAGTAGACTATGCCCAGGGAAGAGCAGAAGTCACAAGTGGTTTACAAAAATCACTGCTAGCAGCAGGTGGGGGCTGGGTTAGAGGGAAGTGGGGACTGGAAGGGGGCAGAGAGACCAGCGAGAAGGTGATCCCCAGGGTCCATGAAAAGGATTTGGACTAGGCCTTCTGCATGGCAGAGGGAGAGGAGGGAACCGAGAAATGGGGAGAGTGGATGGGACGCCACCGGAGAGGACATTTCTTGCTCAGAGCCTGGAGGGGGACATGAGGGTGGGAGCAGACTGAGCTGAGTTTGAGGGTGAGGGGCGGGGAGCATCCAGAGGGCAAAGGCATTTACACTCGAGGGACCTGCTTTTCTTTGCGAAGGAAGGAAGTGGAAGAGAGCTGAAAGGGGAGCCCCTGTGGGGAAGGAAACAGGAAGTTGCCGGGGGTGGGGGGGTGAAAACTGGATTGTCCAGGTGAGCCTGAGGGGCTCGGGCCCTTGCCAGGGAGGTCTGATATGAGGAAGTGGAAATATGAATGACCCCATCAACTTTCTGCAACTTACCCATTTATTGTACTGCCTGGGTGGCGCGAACGGTTTGCACTCAGTCCTGTAGAGTTGCTATGAGTCAGAATCGACTTGACGGCACGCAGCAACAACAACACTAACCCAAAAGGCTGGCGGTTCGAACCCACCCAGCGGAGCCTCAGAAGAAAGTCCTGTGGATCCGTTTCCATAAAGATTACAGCCAAGAAAACTCTACGGAGCAGTTCTCCTCTGGAACACATGGGGTCGCCAGGAGTCGGAACCAACTTGACCAACTTGACGACAACAGGGTTGTTTGGTTTGGGTTTTTACGCATTTATACAAGAGCTTTCCATTCAGCTCACAAGCTCTTCTCACGAGGGATTGGGGAAATTGCTCTTTTCTCTTTCAACAACAATGGAAACCCTTTCTTACTTTTTTGGAGGAAAGGTCTAATTATTTCCCGGTCTGGAGCCAGATCTGTGGAGTTGCGTAATTCAAGCCCTACTGGTCTCCTCACGGGACGAACCAGGATAACTAGAAACAAACAGCTCCGGGTCTCCCTGTTTGGCCGTGAATGCGCGTGCACGCGTGTGCATGCATCCACAGCGATGTCGCAGGTGATGGCACAGCTGTCTCGCGAGGCCAGTGGAACCTATCCCCTTCCTCCACAGACACGGCTCAGAATCACGTGCACCCCACTAGCTTATTTAGAGGTTGTCACATATAGTAAACCAACCACCATTCCTGGCTTGGAGTTAGCCATACTTCTCTGAGTGTTTACAATGGGGATGCAAACGTACAGCTATTGAATTACTCTGTGTAGAAGCAAATGGAGGGAAAATAAAGAATCACGTGGGCTTACGGGGGAATGCATTTGGCCAGAACACGAAATAGGTGCTGTCTTGTAAATCTATGAAAAGCGCCAGACGCCCTGTGTTTCTGCTTCCAGCCCTGTCCCACAAATCCAAGGTCTGGGGGACCACACAGCTCTGTCCCCGGCAGTGTTCTCCCCCCACAGGGCAAAATTCCCTGCTCCCATCCCTGTGGCCCTCTCCTCCACCCTCAATCCCTGCTCCCCAGGAGCCAGCCTGCTGCTCTGCCCCAGGAGGTCTCCTTGCTGGCCCACCAAACACTGAAATGGTGTCCCAGTCTGCTCTGCAGCCACTGTTTTCTAGTTTTTACTGCTTACAAAAAATTGTAGCTGTGAGCAGAGCACAGAACACAGTGCTGAGGAATCTTCCAAAATCCCTCTGAACTTCTGCGGGCCGGTGAGGGGACCGGGGGCACAGGCCATCACCCCAAAGCTGTGGTGTAACCCCAGGGTGGCAGTTACGGAACAGGTCCCAGTGGCCCTAGCTGATTCGTCTTTGTATCAACCTACCAGGACCCCCCAGAAACAGGCCCATGCTGGAAAACTCTAGAAGGCATCGTTTGGAACCTTGGAGCATGATGGAGGAAACAGAGTGATGTTTCTAAACTCTTCAGAATGTTTTACAGTAACTAGTTGCCCGAAGCTGGAGCGCAGGATGCAGTGGGTAAAAACTATTGTATTTCTCAATTTTAAAATCTTATGAAAATGCTCTTCATGTACACAAAACTTGCTTGTTGGGTGACCTCTGCCAAGTCACCCCATTTCTGGGCGCTGTTTTCTCGTCTCCGCAACAAGAATGGAAATATTTTCATGTCTTTCCTTCCCAAGCCCAGAACATTCTGTGATGATGTTACAGTTTTTAAAAATCAGTCAGTGTCTAGTGCTATGGATGTTTTATGTCTTAATAAAGTGATACTTATTAATATTAGAAGTTATTTATTACCATCGAGCCAGATCTTCTTGTGGTTTTATTTTTTTTTAAAAAAAACACTCATAAGAAACTAATTTGCTCTGTAAACCTTCACCTAAAGCACAATATAAAATAAATAAATGAATAAAATAAAAAATACTCGTAAGAAATTGTGACATCTCTTGGTGAAAGTACATGCAATTGAGTGTTTAATTCCTCATGACTTGTTTGTTAATGAATGAAAGGAAGTTGAACAGACAGGACCTGCAGAGTGCTGTCTAGCAGAAGTATGAGTAGATAGCCAAAGATGTGGTTCGAATCCCTGCATTCATTTGAAATTCATTTAGGAAAAAATTCAGTGCTGTTCAAAAATGCCTATTTGTGACAATTACACTATTGCTGTTATTGTTGTTAGGTGCCTTCGAGTTGTTTCTGAGTCATAGTGACCCTGTGTACCACAGAAGGAAACAGTGCCTGGTCCTGTACCATCAGCTATACTATATTATACAATATTTTAAAATGCATGTAATCTTAAAGCAATGTAACTTCTGTTGATTTCCCAATTTAATTATCTTAGATTTCTAGAAGGGAAAAGGAGGCTTCAGGAAGCCTATAGTTTGTCTCTGGACTCCATGGAGAAGAGCTCCCTTCACCTTGCAGCGTTTTGCAGGATTGTTATTGTTATGACTATCTGAACGATTAGGTTGTGCTCGCCACCCCACATCCCCACCCCGTGTCCTGATGGAGCCCTGGACCCTCTGGTGAGGCTGTGATGTCCTGTCACAGGCTTCACAGCAGACAGTTGAGAGTGCAGACTTACAGCTGTCCTCCTGTGGCACTGAGTGAAGTCTTTCCGAGAACTCCCTCTTAGCAGATGCTTTTAAAACCTGGCTCAGCGCCCTACAGTAGATGAGGGA